CTGTTTTCTCCCTCTTCTCTTTAATTCAGTGTCTGAGAACATAGCTTCTCTTCTCCATTTTAAAACGGATGTAAAGATCTTGCTGTTTTAATGTGTGACATCAAAGTGAAGTGTTCTGAATAGATCCATACTTTAATAGCCATGGAGTTAAAATCTCTCACTCTGAACACACTGACTGACTGTGACTATAATTGGGGAAAGCCTTTAGGCAGATGCTGCTTTACTAGCTATTGTTATTGTTGTTGTTGTTGTTTCTGCTATCTGACAGGACTTATATTGTGCTCTACTGCCGTAAGCTTGTTTGCCCCGTTGCCAGGGGGCACAGGGGGGCAGTGCCCCAGCTAAGGAATGTGCCCATTAAAATCTATCCCACAGATGAGTCCTGGGCTGAGGGCTCTTCACACATAGTGGTTGTGCCAGCTCTCTGGATGAACCAACTGGCATGGCCGTGGCCACACATGGGGGTGCTAGGGCACCACCCCCGTCTCAGAGTAGGAGTACTGCTCTTGGATCAGTTTAGCTTTTTAGATCATGATAAATACGATTATATGAACAGGGCGGACCTGATCCTAGATCAGCACTCCTACTCTGAGACTATTTGTAAATACAGGCCCAGGTCTCAGGTCACTACTCTCAGCTGTACAGAGTCTAGGACACAGTAGACACTAGACACAGGATCCAGAGAGCATAGACCCCTTTTCTCTCACTCCCTGGGGGGCCATTCAAAGCAGCAAGCACAAACCATTTACATCACCATATGTGATATATCACATGTGTTGTTAAAAGCTGCATGTCCCTTATTAAGACATTCGACAGGACTCTTCCGGTAAACGTGATTAGCTTTTGGCGAAAGGCCATTCACTGATAAATACTATCCTGTGGAAGTGCTATTGACATCTGGTGAGGAGGAATTAGCAGCGATTCAAACGTGCGGTGTGATGCATAACCCTACCCTGTTTACAGTCTAAATACATCAGGCAGTGGAACCGCACTGTAATAGTGTGGGTTTCTGTACACCTCATTTCTTTCAAGTCGATGTGTAACTACTAGTGCTGAGTGATTAACCAAAATGTTCGTTATTTTTCGGTTTTTAAACAACTAATTGACCGACATCGGTTCAATTATTTGAATTACATTTCTGTTTTTTCTTCTTCTGTGAGCTACATGCACAGTTTCTTTAGAGATAATTCAGATCAAGCCCAAACTGTGTGACATAGTAGGGAGTTGTAATTTCCAACAGGCTAATATTCTACATAGTTTAGCACAGAAAACTTGGCAATTAACTACAATGACCATAATCCATTGCGCGCCTACTTGTCCGGTCTGTGTGGGGAGAGGGAGTGAAGAGACAGAAGAATGCGTGATCGAGAGGGATAGAGAGCAGTTGCTTCATGAGGCATCTCTACCTGAAAATACATTATCTAAGACTTCTAAGTGATTGATAGTTGGTATTCAGCAGTCATAAATATATGCCTTATTTACTTTGAAGAACTACTAAAATAGTGATTTTGCCAGACAGCATAGGCAGCAGCTCTATAGAGATGATGACTTCGAATTAAATAATAAAGTAATCAAATGAAACAAATATTTTATTAAAGTAAAGTAATGTGAATAAATTATGGTTAATAACTGATAAGCAGTAATGGGCAGTCATTACCATCATGGGACTTTTATTAATTGTTTTATTCTGTGTTGTTACAGCATTCAACCCAAATAATGCATAGTGCATTTAATATTTAAAAAATGATTGAACCGAAACTGAACCAACCTCCAAAAGCACTAACCAATGGGAGACATTCACAACTAATGCTGCACTGCCTCTGATGAATGTAGACACATGGAAATGTGCTGAAAACGCGTTTTTTAAATACCCACAACACTCTATAGTTGTCTGTTTGATTTAGAGGCCTGTTTTGCTTAAGGACAAAAAAGGTTTATTTGTGTTTTTTACTTACATTTTACATTTACATTTTAGTCATTTAGCAGATGCTCTTATCCAGAGCGACTTACAGTTAGTGAGTGCATACATTTTTCATACTGACCCCCGTGGGAATCGAACCCACAACCCTGGCGTTGCAAACACCATGCTCTACCAACTGAGCTCTGTTGTTCAGATCCTTGACTTCACTTGCAATTCTTTAGCCTTTTTAATAGTTCCTCTAATGCTGGATGTTCTGGACTTGTGTTATTATCTTGTGTGACATGAAGGTGAGAAACATCATTGAACAGCAGTTTGTTCTCTGTCTGCGACAGATAACATCTAAATGCCATGAATCTGTCATAGCCTTGAACCCCAGCTAAATTGAAATTACCCTTGATAATAGCCATTTTCTGTCTGTGGCAACCCTAATATCGACAACACAGTAAACAATTGAGGTGGCAGTGTCCATATTACACCTCATTGATTGGTTCATTTTATTCTGTGTCGTGTTTGGATTGGTCATAGAGACGGGGGTGTTTATTTATGGATCCTATTAGAATCTTGTAAATTGCCTTGCCTCAAATCGGAGGGCTTGAAAGTAAATGTTCTGAAGGTGAGAAAATGTGTGTATTGAGTCTAGCTAGGCGTCAGGGCCCAGCCATTGCCGGCACCAATCTGTGTGACCAGTCAAGCAGCAAATCCATCACCGCCTCCTCAGGCAGGGAGCACAGAAAAGCAGCCAGAGAAAAATATGCTTTTTTTCTATCTATCTACTAGGCCCTGTTTTCTCTGCTATAATTACTTATCTTTCTCCGCCTCACAATGCGAATCTATGTATCATATCAACATTGTGTCATTATCAAAGTCGGTCATCCCTAACAATGTTCATTGTGTTACTGATGCAATTACCAAATACAGTTTTCGTATCAAAAGGCCCCAGAAACGGTCAGTACAAAGAACATGTAGTAGACAAACATTTAGACATCCATTGAAAGTAAAACAAAAACTGAGATTCATTCTAAGATTAATGTGAAGGAGCCAGAATTCCAACAAAAAAGCATTTCAGGAAATCTACTTTGTGAATAATAGAGCACTGTTTCTGCTCAGTGAAAATACGTTTCAATAATGGTATTAATTAAACAACGTTAACTGAGTGGAGTCAAGCAAAACTTTTTTATTTCCAGGAGCAATATACATTTTTCCACATTACGGTTTTGATTTAATTCAAGCCTAGGACTGAGATGGATGATTATGAAAGTATGGGGATGGCCCATGCTCTGCTCTATCTGCTCTCCAGGTGCTTATGCACAGCCGATTCCCTTTGGTAAAGTGAGCCCCTCATCACTGATCAAATGTAAATGACATGTGGGGCTAGGGCTGGAACTGAGCCTAGGGCTGGGACTGGGACTGAGGCTAGGGCTTGGATTGGGCTGTGGTTGAGGTTGAGGATGGAGGCTAGGACTGAGGCTAGGGCTGGGACTGAGGCTAGGGCTATGGTTGAGGGTGGGGGCTGGGACTGAGGCTATGGCTGGGGTTGAGGCTGAGGCTGGGGGCTGACAGGCTGGGGGCTGTCTCCTCTGACAGGCTGTTCTCTTGTTGCACATTACATTAGTAGCAGATTTCCTCAAATGGATGCTCCCCATGATGCATAGACAGCCATAGGCCATGCATTCCATAGGGTTTAAACACAACATCTGCTTTTCTGTGTGTGTGTGTGTGTGTGTGTGTGTGTGTGTGTGTGTTTGTGTGTGTGTGTGTGACACTCTGGCTCTATGGACGTTTATATTGAGCCAGGGTTGTTCATTTTCATGTGTTTGGGTGTATTTCATTTGGTGGTGTTGGGGATGGGTGAGTTTCATTTTGTTTGTGTCATGTGGTGATTGGTCGATGACTCCCAATCGGAGGTAACGAGTGTCAGCTGTCGGCTCGTTATCTCTGATTGGGAGCCATATATATTCTGTGTGTTTTCTCCTTTGTGTTGTGGGTTATTGTTTCTTTGTTGCTGTTTGTCGTATTTCAGTATAGAACTTCACGTATCGTCTTTTGTTGTTTTTCGTGGTTGCTTTGATTAATAAAGTCATCATGTTCACTCGCAACGCTGCGCATTGGTCCAATCCTTCAGACGATCGTGACAGAATAACCCACCACAAGAGGACCAAGCGGCGTAACAAGCGGCAACAGGACCTACCTACGCAGGATTTATGGACGCCTCCTAAGGATTTTTGGACATGGGAGGAGATTCGGGCTGGAAAGGGTCCTTGGGCACAACCGGAGGAACATCACCGCCCTCGTGAAGAGCTGGAGGCAGCTGCAGCCGAGAGGAGGTGGTATGAGGAGGAATATCACCGCCCTCGTGAAGAGCTGGAGGCAGCTGCAGCCGAGAGGAGGTGGTATGAAGAGGAAGCGCGGAGTCGAGGCTGGAAGCCCGTGGTTACTCCCCAAAATTTTTTTTGGGGGGGGCACATGGCTTGGGCGCCTGGGCAGCAGGAGGCTGCCACAGGGAGAAAAGGAGAGAAGGCTATCGGATTACGGGAGCCATTGGCGAGTAGAGGGAGGGAAGTTGTTGTGGCACGGCATGAGAGACTGAAGTGTGTTCCCAGTCTGGTCCGGTCCGTTCTTGATCCCCAGTTAAGGCCAGTGGTGGGTGTTCCCGGTACGGTCCGGCCTGTTCCTACTCCACGCACCAGGTCCACGATGTGCGTCGCCAGCCGGCCTGAACTGGCCGTCTGCCCAACGGCGCCTGAACTGCCCGTCTGCCATGAGCCTTCAGAGCCGTCCGCCAGATCGGAGCCGCTAGAGCCTTCCGCCAGACAGGAGCCGCTAGAGCCTTCCGCCAGACAGAATCATACACCTGCTATGGAATCAGCAGGAGCCGACGCAGCCCATACTAGACTGGAAGCTCAGGTTCGGAACCAGAAAGAGCAGCTCCTGCAGATGGGAGCCGCCCTGCTGGAGGTGATGACTGCTATCCGAGGCTGGGGTCCGCCTCCACCGCCAGCCTCCCAGCCAGCACCATCAGCCAGCCATGAGCAGCCAGATCCGTCAGCCAGCCATGAGCAGCCAGATCCGTCAGCCAGCCATGAGCAGCCAGACCCGTCAGCCAGCCATGAGCAGCCAGATCCGTCAGCCAGCCATGAGCAGCCAGATCCGTCAGCCAGCCATGAGCAACCAGATCCGTCAGCCAGCCATGAGCAGCCAGACCCGTCAGCCAGCCATGAGCAGCCAGACCCGTCAGCCAGCCATGAGCAGCCAGATCCGTCAGCCAGCCATGAGCAGCCAGATCCGTCAGCCAGCCATGAGCAGCCAGATCCGTCAGCCAGCCATGAGCAGCCAGATCCGTCAGCCAGCCATGAGCAGCCAGATCCGTCAGCCAGCCATGAGCAGCCAGATCCGTCAGCCAGCCATGAGCAGCCAGATCCGTCAGCCAGCCATGAGCAGCCAGATCCGTCAGCCAGCCATGAGCAGCCAGACCCGTCAGCCAGCCATGAGCAGCCAGATCCGTCAGCCAGCCATGAGCAGCCAGATCCGTCAGCCAGCCAGGATCAGCCAGAGCCGTCCAGCCAGGATCCGCCAGAGCCGTCCAGCCAGGATCCGCCAGAGCCGTCCAGCCAGGATCCGCCAGAGCCGTCCAGCCTGGATCCGCCAGAGCCGTCCCGCCAGGATCCGCCAGAGCCGTCCCGCCAGGATCCGCCAGAGCCGTCCCGCCAGGATCCGCCAGAGCCAGCCAGCCAGGATCCGCCATCTAGTCAGGTACTGCCCCTTAGCCCGGTGCTGCCCCTTAGTCCGGTGCTGCCCCTGAGTCCGGTGCTGCCCCTGAGTCCGGTGCTGCCCCTGAGTCCGGTGCTGCCCCTGAGTCCGGTGCTGCCCCTGAGTCCGGTGCCGCCCCGTAGTCCGGTACTGCCCCTTAGCCCGGTGCTGCCCCTTAGTCCTGTACTGCCCTTTAGTCCGGTACTGCCCCGTAGTCCGGTGCTGCCCCTTAGTCCGGTGCTGTCCCTTAGCCCGGTGCTGCCCCTTATCCCGGTGCTGCCCCTTAGGCCGATGCTGCCCCTTAGTCCGGGGTTGCCCCTTAGTCCAGGTGGGGTTAGGTGGAGGGTGGTCATTGGGAGGAGGCTACCGAAGCAGGTTGTGACTGTGGTGGGGTGGGGATCACGACCGGGGCCAGAGCCGCCACCATGGACAGACGCCCACCCAGACCCTCCCCTAGTCCTGATGTTGGTGCGCCCGGAGTTCGCACCTTTAGGGGGGGGTACTGTGACACTCTGGCTCTATGGACGTTTATATTGAGCCAGGGTTGTTCATTTTCATGTGTTTGGGTGTATTTCATTTGGTGGTGTTGGGGATGGGTGAGTTTCATTTTGTTTGTGTCATGTGGTGATTGGTCGATGACTCCCAATCGGAGGTAACGAGTGTCAGCTGTCGGCTCGTTATCTCTGATTGGGAGCCATATATATTCTGTGTGTTTTCTCCTTTGTGTTGTGGGTTATTGTTTCTTTGTTGCTGTTTGTCGTATTTCAGTATAGAACTTCACGTATCGTCTTTTGTTGTTTTTCGTGGTTGCTTTGATTAATAAAGTCATCATGTTCACTCGCAACGCTGCGCATTGGTCCAATCCTTCAGACGATCGTGACAGTGTGTGTGTGTGTGTGTGTGCGTGTGCGTGTGCATGTGCTTGGGCATGCGTGCGTGCTTGCGTGTGTGTATGCGTGTGGAGTCATCCGCAGCTCCTCTGAGAGAAAGAGAGACAGAGAGACAGAAAGAGAGAAAGAGAGACCGAGAGACCGAAAAAGAGAGAGACCAGACACAGAGGTTAATGTTTCAACACCACTTCTGAGCCAGCCATGTGATATCTGTCAGTTTGGGCCTTCAGTGTGTGACCTCTTCCCCCTGGAGGAAGAGGAAGCCATCACGCCCGGCTGACTGGCTGGGCTCAGGGCTGGAGCTGGATCTGCTGGACTTTTCTTCAGAGCTCCACCAAAGAGTGGGTGTGTCCGTTAGCATTGGCCCACCTCTGAGAACACCCCTCCTGAGACTTTGGGTTCTCCACCTGCAGTTCATCATCAAAAGATTAGTCCATCCACATTTATAGCATCATATAAACAGGATATAAAGTCTTACTGAAGGAAGTTAACCAGCTCTTATTCACAAAACTTTTATTTTCTGTAGGTGGTTTGCTTGTTTATTGTGGCATAAGCCAATATGAATTTGCAGCTATAAAACTATTGCATCATACCACTTGCATCTTAATCTCAATCAGATGGAACTGGTTAGGTCTAAAAGAACAGACTGTTCAGCTGGAGCTCGTTGCTTTGGTTGTTGCCAAGGATAATCCATCAATTAAAGCAGATGCTTTTCCTTTCATTTCTTCCGCATTACAAGGACCACAGTATAACTAGCTACAGCTCTAGGAGTGGTGTTCTCTTATAAATCAAATCAAATCAAATGTTATTGGTCACATACACATGTTTAGCAGATGTTATTGCGGGGGTAGCGAAATGCTTGTGCTTCTAGCTCCGACAGTGCAGTAATATCTAACAAGTAATATCTAACAATTTCACAACATATACCCAATACACACAAATCTAAGTAAGGGATGAATTAAGAATATATACATATATGGACGAGCGATGTCAGAGTGGCATGGACTAAGATACAGTAAAATACAGTATATACATATGAGATGAGTAATGCAAGATATGTAAACATTATTAATGTGACTAAGATACCATAGAATAGTATAGAATACAGTATATACATATGTAAACATTATTAAAGTGGCTAGTGTTCCATTTTATAACCAAATAACAAACACTATTACTAGCTACAGCTCTAGGAGTGGTGTTCTGTTATAGCCAAATAACAGTATTACCAGCTACAGCTCTAGGAGTGGTGTTCTGTTATAGCCAAATAACACTATTACTAGCTACAGCTCTAGGAGTGGTGTTCTGTTATAGCCAAATAACACTATTACTAGCTACAGCTCTAGGAGTGGTGTTCTGTTATAGCCAAATAACACTATTACTAGCTACAGCTCTAGGAGTGGTGTTCTGTTATAGCCAAATAACACTATTACTAGCTACAGCTCTAGGAGTGGTGTTCTGTTATAGCCAAATAACACTATTACTAGCTACAGCTCTATGAGTGGTGTTCTGTTATAGCCAAATAACACTATTACTAGCTACAGCTCTAGGAGTGGTGTTCTGTTATAGCCAAATAACACTATTACTAGCTACAGCTCTATGAGTGGTGTTCTGTTATAGCCAAATAACACTATTACTAGCTACAGCTCTAGGAGTGGTGTTCTGTTATAGCCAAATAACACTATTACCAGCTACAGCTCTAGGAGTGGTGTTCTGTTATAGCCAAATAACACTATTACTAGCTACAGCTCTAGGAGTGGTGTTCTGTTATAGCCAAATAACACTATTACTAGCTACAGCTCTAGGAGTGGTGTTCTGTTATAGCCAAATAACACTATTACTAGCTACAGCTCTAGGAGTGGTGTTCTGTTATAGCCAAATAACACTATTACTAGCTACAGCTCTAGGAGTGGTGTTCTGTTATAGCCAAATAACACTATTACTAGCTACAGCTCTAGGAGTGGTGTTCTGTTATAGCCAAATAACACTATTACTAGCTACAGCTCTAGGAGTGGTGTTCTGTTATAGCCAAATAATATTATTACTGGCACCACTGAATATAAATCAAACTAAAACTATAATGCTTTGGAAGAGTAGTGTGCGTTGAACTTGTCTGTAAAGGGCTACAGTAGAGGATATGTTTCCTGTCCTAAGAGACAAGTAAGGACATCGAGTAACAGCTAGAGGACAGAGCAACAAGGTGAGGTAGTGACAGAGGAGGGAGACACAGGGACACAGGGAGTCAGTGTGAATTAATTTGGTTTTCAAGCTGAAAAGTACAATTTGATTTATCTTCTTCACGTTAATCTGTCATCTGGAGATGTGGACTTGGCAGGCTGGGCTGCTCGCCGCTCCTCGCCGCTTGGCAGCCCTCACTTCTGCACAGCTGGCTTTGCGCTCACTCCACATTTTCCAGCCTTTGATATTGATATAGATGTAACTGAAGCCAGCCATGGGTCCACCACCCCCCGACAGCCCTGTCCACCCAGGCCATGTCCAACTATTGTTCCAAGGCCTGTTCTCCCAGCCACAGGACAAGCTGGCCAAACACTCACACACTGCTCCCACACAGGCCTCCTGCAGACTACCTGCCCTCTACCTGCTGCTCCTGACCACGGAGCAGAGAACAGTCTGTCTTTAGCCTGCCCTAACCCTCCCGGCCCTGGCCAGCGCATGTGGACAAGAGAGGAGAGGAGGAGAGAGCTGGCTGCTGCAGCCTGGAACAAAGCAGCTCATCCTACAGAAAACTGGACTGGAAAGAGCCTTTGATGAAAGAGGAGTGTACAGCTGGAGATCAAAGACAAATAGCTCTGTGGCAGATCAGATCAGATCACAATCTTTGGAGCTTGTTGTTGTGGTGGTAATTTTTTCTTCTGCTTGGTGGAATGCCTGAGTCACACAGTGTGTCACGCTTTCTCTTGGTCACTTGTTGAATAATTGATTGTAACAGTTGCTTTTGTTGGACAGAGTTCTAAACAAATACGGTGTGTCAAATAACCAATGCTAGGGGGGAGAACAAATAAACGCTTCATTTGTTGAAAACCAGAAATATTATGTTATATAAAGGCTGTGCCATTTGGCAAATGACTAGACGCCCTTGTAGGCATTTATTAAAAGAAAAACAACACGTCTTGGCAATGTTGAAGGTATAGGAATAAGGATGAAGCCTATGCCCCTGTCATCGCAGTAGATAAACAGGGTATCTCTGATTCCATCATATGTCAGAGTTTACACCAGAGGTTGGCTCCACACAATCATGTGTAATTCCATCTCAATCCTCCCTGATGTAAGTCTTCTCTATTTGATTTTATCACACAATAATTTTGATTCACTAATTCATGTAGCCAACTCAGGCAATTTTCGGAATGGTTTCAGATAAACAAATGATCTTTAAATGTTAAAAAATCAAACTTTATTGTATTCACTAGTAAGAATAAGAAATATTGTTTTTTTAAAAATAGCCAGAATCTCAATTGATGGGAATGAAATGGAACTAGTCACATCCACTACATTCCTTGGAGTTCTAATTTATGAAAAGTTATCCTGGAAAGATCATATTCAATTTGTCTGCAGCAAAGTGATGAAATCTGTTGGTATAATCTGAAAGATTAGTGTTTTGGTTCATCAGGCTTGCTTCCTAACTCTATACGATAGCTTAATTGACCCATATCTCATTTGCTGTAATATTGTCTGGGCCAGTACATATGACTCCTACCTACACAAATTACTCATCATACAAAATACATTTGCAAGACTAGCCACCTCCTCTAACTACCTGGCTCCATCTGCACCTTTGTTTAAGAAACTCAATATCTTGTCTATTTACGACATTAATGTACGCCAATTATGCACTTTAATCTACAAATACTCATGCCTCCCAGACATTGTTGTCTATCACTTTTCTTTGGTGCAAATAAATACAAATAAAATAAAATATTATCTAAACTAGCCTGCAGCTGACCTCTCCCGGGGCAGAGTGGTGTAGCCTTGGACTGAGTCTGTCTCTCTCTCTCTCTCTCTCTCTCTCTCTCTCTCTCTCTCTCTCTCTCTCTCTGTCTCTCTCTCTCTCTCTCTCTCGTATCTGACTCTCTCTCTCTCTCTCTCTCTCTCTCTCTATCTCTCTCTCTTCTCTCTCTCTCTCTCCTCTCTCCCCCCCCCCCTCCCCCCTCTCTCTTTGAAATCAGGGAGAGTGAGGAAACCCTAATTGGTGTCCAGGCCTCACTCCCCTCCCTAACCTCTGCTGTCAAACACCAGGGTTTCCTTTAACTCATCAAAGCGGTGCTGCTCTCTGCTCATAGCCAGGCAGCTCATTTGGCATGCAGGGTGTGGTCTGTGGTCTGTGGTCTGCCACAGAGCCTAGCGAGGCTGAGGCCCTTCTCCTCTCTGAACAGCCAGAACCAGAGTCATTCACAGGGCCCTGGAACCCCACTCCCCCTCACACGCTGGGCCGTAGTCCCTCCCTCTAGCCTCTACAGCTACACCATGCAGCCTGGCCTGCACTGACAGCTCCTCCCCATCTGTCTCTCTTGCCTGGTGTGCACTCGCTCACAGCAGGCTGCCATCTACCTCATCATCTCCCTCCTCTTCAGTTGTGAGGCAGTGGAACCCTGGAATACCTTTGGTATTGGTCTGATCTCAGCGAGAACAGGAAATGTTGTTGCAGCGGAATAGAACAGTAGCTTCTTCCAGACATTGAACATACAACTACTGTGTATGCGCTGGCTTTAGTTACACTGTTAACTAACTGACTGACTGACTGGCTCACTGTAGCCCTTTGAACTGGGAGTATGGGTGAGTGGGTGTGTCAAAAGGAAAGTAGTGGGCGTGTGGAAAGGAGTGGGTGTGTCGAGAGCGCTCTGCTATAGGTTAGACAGCTTTGATTGAGCGTTATTTACTTTTAGCCCTTTTTCTCCCCAATTTCGTGATATCCAATTGGTAGTTACAGTCTTGTCCCATCGCTGCAACTCCCGTACGGACTCAGGAGGCCTGAGCATTATTTTTTCTTCCGTTTCTTACCACGCAACTACTGTACACTGAGCTACCGTACACTGAGCGACTGTACACTGAGCGACTGTACACTGAGCGACTGTACACTGAGCGACTGTACACTGAGTGACTGTACACTGAGCGACTGTACACTGAGCGACTGTACACTGAGCGACTGTACACTGAGCGACTGTACACTGAGTGACTGTACACTGAGTGACTGTACACTGAGCGACCGTACACTGAGCGACCGTACACTGAGCGACCGTACACTGAGCGACTGTACACTGAGCGACTGTACACTGAGCGACTGTACACTGAGCGACCGTACACTGAGCGACTGTACACTGAGCGACCGTACACTGAGTGACTGTACACTGAGCGACTGTACACTGAGCGACTGTACACTGAGCGACCGTACACTGAGCGACCGTACACTGAGCGACCGTACACTGAGCGACCGTACACTGAGCGACTGTACACTGAGCGACTGTACACTGAGCGACTGTACACTGAGGACCGTACACTGAGGGACTGTACACTGAGCGACTGTACACTGAGCGACTGTACACTGAGCGACTGTACACTGAGCGACTGTACACTGAGCGACCGTACACTGAGCGACTGTACACTGAGCGACTGTACACTGAGCGACTGTACACTGAGCGACTGTACACTGAGTGACTGTACACTGAGCGACCGTACACTGAGCGACCGTACACTGAGCGACCGTACACTGAGCGACGTACACTGAGCGACGTACACTGAGCGACCGTACACTGAGCGACCGTACACTGAGCGACGTACACTGAGCGACTGTACACTGAGCGACTGTACACTGAGTGACTGTACACTGAGCGACGTACACTGAGTGACTGTACACTGAGTGACTGTACACTGAGCGACCGTACACTGAGTGACTGTACACTGAGCGACCGTACACTGAGCGACTGTACAGAGGACTGAGCAGAGCGACGTCACTGAGTCTACCAAATGAGTGACCGTGCTGTTAGCGATGTCTACAGAGTGACTGTACCTGACGATTGCACTGTAGCTATTCCACACTGGGAATGTGCTGAGCGCGTGAGGCTGTGCACTGTAGTGCCGTTGTGCACTGTGCGCCTCACATGACGTATATACCTGTATTCTGTAGCCAGAGGTGACATCTACACTGTTGACAAAATATGTTGTGAGGGTGCTTTCCTATATATGCATGGGAGCGAAGGGACATGTCCCACGTTTGCTACTGCGTGAGGCCTACGTCCCACGTAGAGACAGTAGGACTTGTTGTCTCAAGGTGACATCTAGATGGTTATCAATATTAGTTATGTCTTGTGTAGGCTGCTTTCCTACTAGAAATAAAATCATGGGAGGGGGAAAAATGGCCACGTTAGCTACTGCCGGGCTGGTGACACTACCGAAATACCTAGTAGAAAGCACCCCAAGTCAACAGGCACTTTGATTTTGTGGCTGTGCTATCTAGAGGAAATGGGTGTACTGGTCGCCGGCTTATCAACTCGTCGTGCAGCAAAATGGTCTTGAGTGGCAACAAATCTGCCCAATTAGCTGATTCGCCCTGATTCGACACACCCACTCTCCCATACTCCGGTCGCCATTTTGGGCTGCAGCTACCCATACTTGCCAAGAGCTGCCGTTTGGCTGAAAAAGGGATTACAGATTGTGGCTTTAAAGCAGCAAACAGCAGTAAAAACAATAACAACGTATTCTGAGGGATGGGGCTGGAGAAATGTAACCTCTCCAATTCATAGACAGAGCTATGGATGCAAGGACTGACCATCAATGATATCAACATTATAGTTTTAATCATGTTTTCAGGATATAGAGTGTTTGTTAACATTTACTTTGTTTACAAACATTGGAGTAAAACAAGGTTATATTTTTGGTTTTGATGAGGAATTTGTAAGTTATATGCTTCAAGAATAATTGGGTACATATCATTAATTTATAAGTCAAAAAATGTACACTACATGGCCACACCCCTTCAAATTAGTGGATTCGACTATTGCAGCCACACCTGTTGCTTAGAGGTGTATAAAATGGAGCACACAGCCATGCAATCTCCATAGACAAACATTGGCAGTAGAATTGGCCAGTACTGAAGTGCTAAGTGACTTTCAACGTGGCACCATCATAGGATGCCACCTTTCCAACAAGTCAGTTCGTCACATTTCTGCCCTGCTAGAGCTGCCCCGGTCAACTGTAAGTGCTGTTATTGTGAAGTGGAAACCTCTAGGAGCAACAACGGCTCAGCCGCGTAGTGGTAGGCCACACAAGCTCACAGAACGAGACGGTTGCAACACTCACTACCGGGTTCCAAACTGCCTCTGGAAGCAACGTCAGCACAATAATTGTTCGTCGGGAGCTTCGTGAAATGGGTTTCCAAGGCCGAGCAGCCGCACACAAGCCTAAGAGCCTAAGATCACCATGCGCAATGCCAAGCCTCGGCTGGAGTGGTGTAAAGCTCGCCACCATTGGACTCTGGAGCAGTGGAAACGCGTTCTCTGGAGTGATGAATCACGCTTCACCATCTGGCAGTCCAACAGACAAATCTGAGTTTGGCGGATGGCAGGAGAATGCTACCTGCCCCAAAGCATAGTGCTAACTGTAAAGTTTGGTGGAGGAGGTATAATGGTCTGGGGCTGTTTTTCATGGTTCAGGCTAGGCCCCTTAGTTCCAGTGAAGGGAAATCTTAACGCAACAGCATACAATGACATTCTAGAATATTCTGTGCTTCCAACTTTGTGGCAACAGTTTGGGGAAGGCCCTTTCCTGTTTCAGCATGGCAATGCCCCTGTGCACAAAGCGAAATCCATACAGAAATAGTTTGTTGAGATCAGTGTGGAAGAACTTGACTGGCCTGCACAGAGCCCTGACCTCAACCACATCAAACACCTTTGGGATGAATTGGAATGCCGACTGCGAGCCAGACCTAATCACCCAACATCAGTGCCTGACCTCACTAATGCTCTTGTGGCTGAATGGAAGCAAGTCCCTGCCGAAATGTTCCAACATCTAGTGGAAAGCCTTCCCAGAAGAGTAGAAGCCCATGATTAATGCCCATGATTGTGGAATGAGATGTTCAACGATCAGGTGTCCACATACCCTTTAAGGCCAGTCTGTCTGTGTCTATAGAAGGTTTCAGCAGATTAATTTCTCCACCAGCCTTGAATGAGGTATGACCTGACGTACCATGAGCCCAAAGCACAGATGTAGGTAATAGTCCATAAGGAAACAGTCTGCTCAGCAAACTAGATTAAACATGAGGAAATGTAATGTTGAACTGGCTGGCATCAGAAAGGTGATTAGAATATGAAACGTCTCCATTATGTACAGTGGCTTGCGAAAGTATTTGCCCCCCTTGGCATTTTTCCTATTTTGTTGCCTTACAACCTTTTTGGGGGGGGTTGTATCATTTGATTTACACAACATGTCTACCACTTTGAAGATGCAAAATATGTTTTATTGTGAAACAAACAAGAAATAAGACAAAAAAACAGAAAACGTGAGCGTGCATAACTATTCACCCCCCCCCCCCAAAGTCAATACTTTGTAGAGCCACCTTTTGCAGCAATTACAGCTGTAAGTCTCTTGGGGTATGTCTCTATAAGCTTGGCACATCTAGCCACTGGGATTTTTGCCAATTCTTCAAGGCAGAACTGCTCCAGCCCCTTCAAATTGGATGGGTTCTGCTGGTGTACAGCAATCTTTAAGTAATACCACAGATTCTCAATTGGATTGAGGTCTGGGCTTTGACTAGGCCATTCCAAGACATTAAAATGTTTCCCCTTAAACCACTCAAGTGTTGCTTTAGCAGTATGCTTAGGGTCTGATGGAAGGTGAACCTCCGTCCCAGTCTCAAATCTCTGGAAGACTGAAACAGGTTTCCCTCAAGAATTTCCCTGTATTTAGCGCCATCCATCATTCCTTCAATTCTGACCAGTTTCCCAGTCCGAGTCCGAGTCAGATCCTCCTCCCCACCCTCTCCGAGTTGGGTATCTCCGGCGTGGCTCACTCTTGGATTGCGTCCTACCTGACAGGTCGCTCCTACCAGGTGGCGTGGCGAGAATCTGTCTCCGCTCCACATGCTCTCACCACTGGTGTCCCCAGTCTGGCAGACATATCAGTGTGGATGACGGATCACCACCTCAAGCTGAACCTCGGCAAGACGGAGCTGCTCTTCCTCCCGGGGAAGGACTGCCCGTTCCATCTCGCCATCACGGTTGACAACTCCGTTGTGTCCTCCTCCCAGAGTGCAAAGAGCCTTGGCGTGACCCTGGACAACACCCTGTCGGTCTCCGCTAACATCAAGGCGGTGACCCGATCCTGTAGGTTCATGCTCTACAACATTTGCAGAGTACGACCCTGCCTTACACAGGAAGCGGCACAGGTCCTAATCCAGGCACTTGTCATCTCCCGTCTGGATTACTGCAACTCGCTGTTGGCTGGGCTCCCTGCCTGTGCCATTAAACCCCTACAACTCATCCAGAACGCCGCAGCCCGTCTGGTGTTCAACCATCCCAAGTTCTCTCACGTCACCCCGCTCCTCCGCACACTCCACTGGCTTCCAGTTGAAGCTTGCATCTGCTACAAGACCATAGTGCTTGCCTATGGTGCTGTGAGGGGAATGGCACCTCCATACCTACCCCCCCCTTACCCCACCCCCCAAAAAAAAATATATATATATACAGTGGGGAGAACAAGTATTTGATACACTGCCGATTTTGCAGGTTTTCCTACTTACAAAGCATGTAGAGGACTGTAATTTTTATCATAGGTACACTTCAACTGTGAGAGACGGAATCTAAAACAAAAATCCAGAAAATCACATTGTATGATTTTTAAGTAATTAATTTGCATTTTATTGCATGACATAAGTATTTGATCACCTACCAACCAGTAAGAATTCTGTCTCTCACAGACCTGTTAGTTTTTCTTTAAGAAGCCCTCCTGTTCTCCACTCATTACCTGTATTAACTGCACCTGTTTGAACTCGTTACCTGTACACTCAATCAAACAGACTCCAACCTCTTCACAATGGCCAAGACCAGAGCGCTGTGTAAGGACATCAGGGTTAAAATTGTAGATCTGCACAAGGCTGGGATGGGCTACAGGACAATAGGCAAGCAGCTTGGTGAGAAGGCAACAACTGTTGGCGCAATTATTAGAAAATGGAAGTAGTTCAAGATGACGGTCAATCACCCTCTGTCTGGGGCTCCATGCAAGATCTCACCTCGTGGGGCATCAATGATCATGAGGAAGGTGAGGGATCAGCCCAAAACTACACGGCAGGACCTGGTCAATTACCTGAAGAGAGCTGGGACCACAGTCTCAAAGAACACCATTAGTAACACACTACGCCGTCATGGATTAAAATCCTGCAGCGCACGCAAGGTCCCCCTGCTCAAGCCAGCGCTTGTCCAGGCCTGTCAGAAGTTTGCCAATGACCATCTGGATGATCCAGAGGAGGAATGGGAGAAGGTCATGTGTTCTGATGAGACAAAAATAGACCTTTTTGGTCTAAACTCCACTCGCCGTGTTTGGAGGAAGAAGAAGGATGAGTACAACCCCAAGAACACCATCCCTACCATGAAGCATGGAGATGGAAAAATCATTATTTGGGGATGCTTTTCTGCAAAGGGGACAGGACGACTGCACTGTATTGAGGGGAGGATGGAAGGGGCCATGTATCGCGAGATCTTGGCCAACAACCTCCTTCCCTCAGTAAGAGCATTGAAGATGGGTTGTGGCTGGGTCTTCCAGCATGACAACGACCCGAAACACACAGCCAGGGCAACTAAGGAGTGGCTCCGTAAGAAGCATCTCAAGGTCCTGGAGTGGCCTAGCCAGTCTCCAGACCTGAACCCAATAGAAAATCTTTGGAGGGAGCTGAAAGTCCGTATTGCCCAGTGACAGCCCCGAAACCTGAAGGATCTGGAGAAGGTCTGTATGGAGGAGTGGGCCAAAATCCCTGTTGCAGTGTGTGCAAACCTGGTCAAGACCTACAGGAAGCGTATGATCTCTGTAATTGCAAACAAAGGTTTCTGTACCAAATATTAAGTTCTGCTTTTCTGATGTAAAGCAAATTAATTACTTAAAAATCATACAATGTGATTTTCTGGATATCTGTTTTAGATTCCGTCTCTCACAGTTGAAGTGTACCTATGATAAAAAATTACAGAGCTCTACATGCTTTGTAAGTAGGAAAACCTGCAAAATCGGCAGTGTATCAAATACTTGTTCTCCCCACTGTATATATATATTGTAAAGTGGTTGTCCCACTGGCTATCATAAGGTGAATGCACCAATTTGTAAGTCGCTCTTAATAAGAGCGTCTGCTAAATGACGAAAATTTAAATGTTAAGTCTCATCTGATCAGAGTACCTTCTTCCATATGTTTGGGGAGTCTCCCACATGCCTTTTGGCGAACACCAAATGTGTTCGCTTATTTTTTTCTTTAAGCAATGGATTTTTTTTCTGGCCACTCTTCTGTAAAGCCCAGCTCTGTGGAGTGTACGGCTTAAAGTGGTCCTATGGACAGATACTCCAATCTCCACTGTGGAGCTTTGCAGCTCCTTCAGGGTTATCTTTGGACTCTTTGTTGCCTCTCTGATTTAATGCCCTCCTTGCCTGGTTGTGAGTTTTGGTGGGCGGCCTTCTCTTGGCAGGTTTGTTGTGGTGCCATATTTTTTCCATTTTTTAATAATGGATTTAATGGTGCTCCGTGGGATGTTCAAAGTTTCTGATATTTTCTTATAACCCAACCCTGATCTGTACTTTTCCACAACTTTGTCCCTGACCTGTTTGGAGAGCTCCTTGGTCTTCATGGTGCCGCTTGCTTGGTGGTGCCCCTTGCTTAGTGGTGTTGCAGACTCTGGGGCCTTTCACGACAGAATGCCTCAGAAAATAGCCAGTCCAGTTAATTTAAATTAAGGGAGCAACTAAATACAATGGCTATTGGCTGAATTGCTTTGAAATTGAAAAATTAAAATGGAATGGAAAAAGTTTTCAATATATACTGTGCCTTCAGAAAGCATTCACACCCCTTGACCTTTTCCACATTTACAGCCTGAATATAAAATTGATTAAATTGTGAAGTTTTGTTATTGGCCTATACACAATACCCCATAATGTCAAAGTGGAATTGTGCTTTTATAAATGTTTACAAATGAATTAGAAATGAAAAGCTGCAATGTCTTCAGTCAATAAGTACTCAAGCCATTTGTTATGGCAAGCCTAAATAAGTTCAGGAGGAAAGATTTGCTAAAGCAGTCACACAACTTGCATGGACTCACTCTGTGTGCAATAATAGCGTTTAACATGATTTTTGAATGACTACCTCATCTCTGAACCCCACACATACAATTATCTGTAAGGTCCCTCATTCGAGCAGGGTATTTCAAACACAGATTCAACCACAAAGACCAGTGAGGTTTTCCAATGCCTCGCAAAGAAGGGCACCTATTGGTAGATGGGTAAAAATAAAAAAAAGCAGACATTGAGTATCCCTTTGAGCATGGTGAAGTTATTCATTACCATTTGGATGGTGTATCAATACACCCAGCCACTACAAAGATACAGGCGGCCTTCCTAACTCAGGAAACCACTCACGGATTTCACTATGAAAACAAAGGTGACTTTAAAACAGTTACAGAGTTTAATGGCTGTGATAGGAGAAAACTGAGGATGGATCAACAACATTTTAGTTACTCCACAATACTAACCTAATTGGCAGAGTGAAAATAAGGAACCATGTACAGAAACAAGGCACTAAAGTAATACATTTTACAAAGCAATTAACTTTTTGTCCTGAATACAAAGTGCTATGTTTGGGGCAAATCCAATACAACACATTACTCAGCCAAACTCCCCAAATTTTCAAGCATAGTGGTGGCTGCATCATGTTATGGGTATGCTTGTAATCGTTAAGGACTGGGGAGTTTTTCAGGATAAAAAAATAACGGAATGGAGTTAAGCACAGGCAAAATCCTAGAGGAAAACTGCTTTCCACCAGACAATGGGAGATGAATTCACCTTTCAGCAGGACAGTACCCTAGATCACAAGGCCAAATCTACGCTGGAGTTGCTTACCAAAAAGACAGTGAATGTTCCTGAATGGCAGAGTTACAGGTTTGACTTAAATCTGCTTGAAAATGTATGGCAAAACTTGAAAATGGTTGTCTAGCAATGATGAACAACCAGTTTGACAGAGCTTGAAGACACTTGAAAAGAATAATGGGCAAATATTGTACAATCCAGGTGTGAAAAGCTCTTAAAGACTTACCCAAAAAGACTCACAGCTGTAATCGCTGCCAAAGGTGTTTCTAACATGTGGGATGAGGGATGAGAATACTTATGTAAATTAGATATTTCTGTAAATTAGCAAACATTTCTAAAAATATGTTTTCACTTTGTCATTATGGGTTTTTGTGTGTTGATGGGTGAGAGAAAAAAACAGATGGAACCATTTTGAATTCAGGCTGTAACACAGCAATGTGTGGAATAAGTTAAGGGGTATGAATACACTATTATATTTTTTCCCCTATATTGGGCTATCAACAAAACCGATGCGTGCGCAACCGTGGAGTTGTGGTTGGCTTAGAATCAAAGGATACAGTTGACAACATGTAAACTATATTTTCTCTGCTAATATTTATTGAAAACATCAATACATTTGCACAATGAGTACTTGTTGTCTCTCAAATACATTGTTACAGTGGTTGGTTGGTTAGCTAGCTAGCGAATTTGTCATCAAATCAAAATTGATTTGTCAAATGGGACGAATACAACAGGTGTAGACCTTACCGTGAAATGCTTAATTACAAGCACTTAACCAACAATGCAGTTTTAAGAAAATAGTATTAAGAAAATATTTACTAAATAAACTAAAGTTAATAAAAATAAAAAAAAGTAACACAATAAAATAACAATAACGAGGCTATATACAGGGTGTAACAGTACCAAGTCAATGTCCAAACTTTTGACTGGTACTGTATGTACGGTCACTGTGGGGACGACGTCGTTGATGCACTTATTGATGAAGCCGGTGACTGAGGGGGTATACTCCTTAATGCCATTGGATAAATCCTGGAACATATTCCAGTCTGTGCTAGCAAAACAGTCCTGTAGCGTAGCATACACGTCATCTAACCACTTCTGAATTGAGCGAGTCACTGGTATTTCCTGCTTTAGTTTTTGCTTGTAAGCAGTAATCAGGAGGATGGGGGAGAGCTTTGTATGCGTTTCTGTGTGTGGAGTAGAGTTTATTTTCCTCTGGTTGCACATGTGACATGCTGGTAGAAATGAGGTCAACCGGATTTAAGTTTGCCTGCATTAAAGTCACCTGCCACTAGGAGTGCCGCCTCTAGATGAGCATTTTCTTGTTTGCTTATGGCCTTATACAGCTTGTTGAGTTCGGTCTTAGTGCCAGCATCGGTTTGTGGTAGTAAATAGACGGTTACGAAAATATAGATGAAAACTCTCTTGGTAGATAGTGTGGTCTACAGCTTATCATGAGGTACTCTAGTTTAGGCGAGCATTACAGTGAGGGAATAAAGTATTTGATCCCCTGCTGATTTTGTATGTTTGCCCACTGACAAAGAAATGATCAGTCTATAATTTTAATGGTAGGTTTATTTGAACAGTGAGAGACAGAATAACAACAACAAAATCCAGAAAAACGCATGTCAAAAATGTTATAAATTGATTTACATTTTAATTTTAATTTTATTTTATTTCACCTTTATTTAACCAGGTAAGCCAGTTGAGAACAGGTTCTCATTTACAACTGCGACCTGGCCAAGATAAAGCAAAGTAGTGCAATAAAAACAACACAGAGTTACATATGGGGTAAAAAACATAAAGTCAGAAATACAACAGAAAAATATATACAGTGTGTGCAAATGTAGCAAGTTATGGAGGTAAGGCAATAAATAGGCTATAGTGCAGAATAATTACAATAGTATTAACACTGGAATGCTAGATGTGCAAGAGATTATGTGCAAATAGAGATACTGGGGTGCAAAAGAGCAAAATAAATAACAATATAGGGATGAGGTAGTTGGGTGGGCTAATTTCAGATAGGCTGTGTACAGGTGCAGTGATCGGTAAGGTGCTCTGACAACTGATGCTTAAAGTTATTGAGGGAGATAAGAGTCTCCAGCTTCAGAGATTTTTGCAATTCGTTCCAGTCATTGGCAGCAGAGAACTGGAAGGAATGGCGGCCAAAGGAGGTGTTGGCTTTGGGAATGACCAGTGATATATACCTGCTGGAGCGCAGACTACGGGTGGGTGCTGCTATGGTGACCAATGAGCTAAGATAAGGCGGGGATTTGCCTAGCAGTGATTTATAGATGGCCTGGAGCCAGTGGGTTTGACGACGAACATGTAGTGAGGACCAGCCAACAAGAGCGTACAGGTCACAGTGGTGGGTAGTGTATGGGGCTTTGGAGACAAAACGGATGGCACTGTGATAGACTACATCCAATTTGCTGAGTAGAGTGTTGGAGGCTATTTTGTAAATGACATCGCCAAAGTCAAGGATCGGTAGGATAGTCAGTTTTACGAGGGCATGTTTGGCAGCATGAGTGAAGGAGGCTTTGTTGCGAAATAGGAAGCCGATTCTAGATTTAACTTTGGATTGGAGATTCTTTATGTGAGTCTGGAAGTTGAGTTTACAGTCTAACCAGACACCTAGGTATTTGTAGTTGTCCACATACTCTAGGTCAGACCCGTCGAGAGTGGTGATTCTAGTCGGGTGGGCGGGTGCCAGCAGCGTTCGATTGAAAAGCATGCATTTAGTTTTACTAGTGTTTAAGAGCAGTTGGAGGCTACTGAAGGATTGTTGTATGGCATTGAAGCTCGTTTGAAGGTTTGTTAACACAGTGTCCAATGAAGGGCCAGATGTATACAAAATGGTGTCGTCTGCGTAGAGGTGGATCTGAGAGTCACCAGCAGCAAGAGCGACATCATTGATATACACAGAGAATAGTGTCGGCCCAAGAATTGAACCCTGTGGCACCCCCATAGAGACTGCCATAGGTCCAGACAACAGGCCCTCCGATTTGACACACTGAACTCTATCTGAGAAGTAGTTGGTGAACCAGGCGAGGCAGTCATTTGAGAAACCAAGGCTATTTAGTCTGCCAATAAGAATGCGGTGGTTGACAGAGTCGAAAGCCTTGGCCAGGTCGATGAAGACGGCTGCACAGTACTGTCTATTTTCAATCGCGGTTATAATATCGTTTAGGACCTTGAGCGTGGCTGAAGTGCACCCGTGACCAGCTCGGAAACCGGATTGCATAGCGGAGAAGGTACGGTGGTATTCGAAATGGTCGATGATCTGTTTGTTAACTTGGCTTTCGAATACTTTCGAAAGGCAGGGCAGGATGGATATAGGTCTGTAGCAGTTTGGATCTAGAGTGTCACCCCCTTTGAAGAGGGGGATGACCGCGGAAGCTTTCCAATCTCTGGGGATCTCAGACGTTATGAAAGAGAGGTTGAACAGACTAGTAATAGGGGTAGCGACAATTTCGGCGGCTAGTTTTAGAAAGAAAGGGTCCAGATTGTCTAGCCCAGCTGATTTGTAGGGGTCCAGATTTTGCAGCGCTTTCAAAACATGAGCTGTCTGAATTTGTGTGAAGGAGAAGCGGGGGGGGGGGGGGGGGGGGGGGCAAGTTGCAGCAGAGGGTGCAGAGTTGGTGGCCGGGTTAGTGGTAGCCAGATGGAAAGCATGGCCAGCTGTAGCAAAATGCTTGTTGAAATTCTCGATTATTGTAGATTTATCGGTGGTGATAGTGTTTCCTAGCCTCAGTGCAGTGGGCAGCTGGGAGGAAGTGCTCTTATTCTCCATGGACTTTACAGTGTCCCAAAACTTTTTGGAGTTAGTGCTACAGGATGCAAATTTCTGTTTGAAAAAGTTAGCCTTTGCTTTCCTGACTGCTTGTGTATATTGGTTCCTAACTTCCCTGAAAAGTTGCATATCGCGGGGGCTATTTGATGCTAATGCTGTACGCCACAGGATGTTTTTGTGCTGGTCAAGGGCAGTCAAGTCTGAGGAGAACCAGGGGCTATATCGGTTCTTAGTTCTGTATTTTTTGAATGGGGCATGTTTATTTAAGATTGAGAGGAAATTACTTTTAAGGAACAACCAGGCATCCTCTACTGACGGAATGAGATCTATATCCATCCAGGATACCTGGGCCAGGTCAATTAGGAAGGCCTCCTCGCTAAAGTGTTTTAGGGAGCGTTTGACAGTGATGAGGGGTGGTCGTTTGACCGCGGACCCGTTACGGACGCAGGCAATAAGGCAGTGATCGCTGAGATCCTGGTTGAAGACAGCTGAGGTGTATTTAGAGGGTATGTTAGTCAGGATGATATCTATGAGGGTACCCATGTTTACGGATTTAGGGTTGTACCTGGTAGGTTCGTTGATAATTTGCGTGAGGTTGAGGGCATCTAGCTTGGATTGTAGGATGGCTGGGGTATTAAGCATATCCCAATTTAGGTCACCAAGCAGTACAAACTCTGAGGATAAATGGGGGGCAATCAATTCACATATGGTGTCCAGGGCACAGCTGGGGGCTGAGGGGGGTCTGTAGCAAGCGGCAACAGTGAGAGACTTATTTCTGGAAAGGTGGATTTTTAGAAGTAGAAGCTCAAACTGTTTGGGCACAGACCTGGATAGTATGATAGAGCTCTGCAGGCTATCTCTACAGTAGATTGCAACTCCACCCCCTTTGGCAGTTCTATCCACCTTGTCCCTGACATCCTTGGAGAGCTCTTTGGTCTTGGCCATGGTGGAGAGTTTGGAATCTGATTGATTGATTGCTTCTGTGGACAGGTGTCTTTTATACAGGTAACAAGATTAGGAGCACTCCCTTTAAGAGTGTGCTCCTAATCTCAGCTCGTTACCTGTATGAAAGAGACCTGGGAGCCAGAAATCTTTCTGATTGAGAGGGGGTCAAATACTTATTTCCCTCATTAAAATGCAAATCAATTTATAACATTTTTGACATGCGTTTTTCTGGATTTTTTTGTTGTTATTCTGTCTCTCACTGTTCAAATAAACCTACCATTAAAATTATAGACTGATCATTTCTTTGTCAGTGGGCAAACGTACAAAATCAGCAGGGGATCAAATACTTTTTTCCCTCACTGTACCTCGTGACTTCCTTAATATTAGACATTGTGCACCAGCTGTTATTGACAAATAGACACACACCACCACCCCTCATCTTACGTAGCTGTTCTGTCCTGCTGATGCACAGAAAACCCAGCCAACTGTATATTATCTGAGTCGTTGTTCAGCCACGACTCAGTGAAACATAAGATATTACAGTTTTTAATATCCCGTTGGTAGGATAGTCTCTAACGGAGCTCATCCAGTTTATTCTCCAGTGATTGCACGTTGGCCAATAGAACCTGATGGTAGAGGCAGGTTACCAACTCACCGATTAATTCTCACAATGCACCCGGATCAGCGCCCCCTGTAGCTCCGTCTTTTCTTCATGCGAATGATAGGGATTTGGGCCTGGTCTGGGAGAAACAGTATATCCTTCAGGTCAGACTCATTAAAGAAAAAAATCTTCGTCCAGGTCGAGGTGAGTAATCGCTGTTCTGATATACAGAAGCTATTTTCGGTCATAAGAGACAGTATCAGCAACATTTTGTACAAAATAAGTTACAAACAATGCGAAAAAACACACAAAATAGCACAATTGGTTAGGAGCCTGTAAAACGGCAGCCATCCCCTCCTGCTCCATTTGGAAAACCATATTAGCATAAAATATCTGTATGATTTTCAGAAAATGTGTTGCTATTGACATTGAATAAGCTCATGTAGCATACAGATGTGGTAGACTAGGATATGGCTTTACTTAGACGCGTACTAAAAACACAACACCTCCTGTGGTGTTTACAAGGAGTAAAAAATGTCTTCAACATATTTGTATTTATTAAGGATCCCCATTAGCTACTCTTCCTGGGGTCCAGCAACATTAAGGCAGTTATATACAATTAAAAATATTACATGACATTACATTTCATAACACTTTTCACAACACATTAAGTGTGTTCCCTCAGGCCACTACTCTTCCATCACATATCTACAATACAAAATCCATGTGTACGTGTGTGTAGAGTGCGTTTGTTATCATGTGTATGTGTGTCTGTGCCTGTGTCTCTTCACAGTCCCCGCTGTTCCATAAGGTTTATTTTTATCTGTTTTTTTTTTTTATCTGATTCTACTGCTTGCATCAATTACTTGATGTGGAATAGAGTTCCATGTAGTCATGGCTTTATGTAGAACTGTGCGCATAGTCTTCTCTGGACTTTGGGATTGTGAAGAGACCTCTAGTGGCATGTCTTGTGGTGTATGCATGGGTGTCCGAGCTGTGTGCTAGTAGTTTAAACAGACAGCTCGGTGCATTCAGCATGTTAATAATTCTAACAAAAACAATTAGTGATGAAGTCAATCTCTCATCTACTTTGAGCCATGAGAGATTGACATGCATATTATTTATGTTAGCTCTCTGTGTACATTTAAGGGCAAGCCGTGCTGCCCTGTTCTGGGCCAATTGTAATTTTCATTTGTAATTTTCACTTTCAATTGCACAGGGACGGCCTGTTCAATAGGGCGATATGGGCGACGCACTGCCAAACGGGAAAAGGAAGGGATTTTTTTTCTAATCAATTATATCACGGCAACAGTAGTTATCAGTGTTGTAATCTGATCTGACTGCCACTAAATGTCAAATCAGGCTAAAGTCGTGCTTCAAATGGCCCCGCCCGTTTTTGGGGCGATTTCAGTCAGGTTGAAAATCGCCCAGAAGTCTCTCATAGCCTGTCATGTAAAATCTATTTTTTTCAAATTTCAAAGCTTTCAATACAATCTCTATGGGGGTCTGTGGGCTTGCACTTACGCGCTTTCGTCATACGTGACGTAACCATGAACGTAACTAAGCAAATAGCGGCTAGCAGCGTCTCTGTTGCGACCTGCAGTGTGGCGTTATCTTATGTTTTTAATTTGTACACTTAGTGGCGTTATTTTATGTTTTTAATTTGTACACTTAGTTTACAAACATTCTGCCAACCATGGATTTCCAGTGGTGGGTTTTGGACTGATCTTGTTGATCGTGTACATACCCGCTACGAACGGACTAAATGATGAAAACGCTGCTGGCAGCGGAATCCAATACAGCTGGGAGACTTGGCTGGATGACAGAGTCCCGGACAGAGAAGTGGAGCCGGCCGGTCTGACAGTCACAGGGAAAATCGATCCTGGTAAGAGAGCGACTCTGTACCCCCGACATTGAACTGCTTTCTGTGTCACTGCGACCTTACTATCTGCCCCGTGAGTTCCCCCAATTGTTTGTTACCGTTGTGTACTGTTGATAATCACAAGTTTACTGGAGAACTGAGACCAAGTAGAGACTTTGGACAGGGTGGATATGGTATAATAAAGGCAGTTTATTCAGAGGTAAAGATATCTGGAATCGCGTGCACGGACTCGTTCGTCAAACTCTTAGGGAGCTATCTGAAGAGAGCCCCGAAAACATTGTGTGCAGACATTTTATACAATAAATGATGTAGGTTGAATCTAGTAGTTCTGATCTTCTGATTGGTCCTGATGAGTTGGGCGAGGTCCCCTCCACTGTTGCATTGGCTCTGAGTCGGGTTCTCTGTCTTCAAATGTTCAGCCTAAAGAGAGGGGATTTTTGTGTGTGTGTGTGTGTGTGTGTGTGTGTTTAACAGTGATGATGTGTGTGTGTGTGTGTGTTATCAGTGATGATGTGTGTGTGTGTGTGTGTGTGTGTGTGTGTGTGTGTCCTCAGAGCAAGAACTTGTGAGTTGGAAGAACTGAGAGACCTATGGCGTGGGTGTTGTCCTTGGCCACCTGCTGACAAGGCTGACAAGATAGGACTCTTTTGTCCATTGTTATAGGATAGGAACAGCATTGATTGAAAACAAACGCCCAAGACAAAATGGGTCATGCACAAGATTTTAGTCAGACCAAGCTATAACATTATATATTTACTACGACAGTACATTCAACCAAAAGCTAATATAACAAAGGCATCAGAGATTATTTATAATCTGTCACAGAAACTGGAATCCATCTCCCCAGATCAGTCAATAAATGCTTCTGGTATTGACTTATACGCTGCCCCTGTCTTCATGTTGTTGCTGGACATATCTTTTTTAAAATGTGTGTAGGTCACCTAAATCATCAGAAAAATTGCCCCTCCTGAGAATTTTTTCAGGAGCCGCCACTGCAATTGCATCTGACCACATGACTGGACAGTAGTCCAGGTGCGAAAAAACTAGGGCCTGTAGACCTGCCTTGTTGATAGTGTTGTTAAGAAGGCAGAGCAGCACTTTATTATGGACAGACTTCTCCCCGTCTTAGCTACTGTTGCATTAACATGTTTTGACCATGACAGTTTACAATCCAGGGTTACTGCAAGTAGTTTAGTCACCTCAACTTGTAAAGCCAGCAGCAGACTATGATCGATAATGTCAAAAGCCACACTGAAGTCTAACAAAACAGCTCCCACAAGTTGTTTATCATCAATTTCTCTCAGCCAATCATCAGTCATTTGTGTAAGTGCCGTGCATGTTGAATGACCTTCCCTATAAGCGTGCTAAAAGTCTATTGTCAAGTTGTTTACTGTAAAATAGCATTGTATCTGGTCAAAAACCATTTTTTCCAAAACTTTACTAAGGGTTGGTAACAGGCTGATTGGTTGGCTATTTGAACCAGTAAAGGGGGCTTTACTATTCTTGGGTAGTGGAATTACTTTTGCTTCCCTCCAGGCCTGAGGGCACACACTTTCTTGTAGGCTTAGATTGAAGATATGGCAAATAGGAGTGGCAATATCGTCCACTATTATCCTCAATAATATTCCATCCAAGTTGTCAGACCCAGGTGGCTTTTCGTTGTTGATAGACAACAATCATTTTTTCACCTCTTCCACACTCACTTCTCTTTCATAATTTGGTCACTTGGATGTGTGGTGTTGGCATTTGTTGCTGGCATGTTATGCCTAAATTTGCTAATCTTGACGATAAAAGCATAATTAAATTATTTGGCAATATCAGTGTCACGATCGTCGGGTACAGAGGACCAAGGCGCAGCGTGGAAGGTGAACATATTTTATTAATTTGAATGATAACACGAACAAAACAACAAACAATAACGTGACGTCCAAAGGTGCAAAACACAAACCTATACAGGAACAAGATCCCACAAACACTGTGGGAAAACTGGCTGCTTAAGTATGGTTCCCAATCAGAGACAACAAGCAACAGCTGATACACGTTGCCTCTGATTGAGAACCACACTGGCCAACATAGAAATACTAAACTAGAATGAAAAACAAATGAAAACTCACACCCTGGCTCAACATACTAGAGTCCCCAGAGCCAGGGCGTGACAGTACCCCCCCCCAAAGGCGCGGACTCTGACCGCGCCAACCAAATACCACAGGGGAGGGACCGGGTGGGCACTCCGCCTTGGCGGCGGATCCGGCTCCGGGCATGATCCCCACTCCCTCTCTAACCCCCCAAAGAACCCCTGGTCCGGTCTGGCCCCGCTGACCGGAGCTGGACTGCACACTGGTGGAGCGGATTGCTCTAGCTCCGGCGTGAAGCAGCTGACCCGCGCCGAACCAGGCACTGGTGGAACAGGCACGGGCTGTGCCGGACTGACGACGCACACCACTGGCTTGGTGTGGGGAGCAGGAACGGGCCAAGCCGGGCTGACGAAACGCACCACTGACTTGGTGCGGGGAGCAGGAGCGGGCCGGACCGGGCTGACTAAGCGCACCACTGACTTGGTGCGGGGAGCAGGAATGGGCCGGACCGGGCTGGCGAAGCGCACCACAGGCTCGATGCGGGGAGCAGGAACAGGTCGAGCCGGGCTGACGAAGCGCACCACAGGCTCGATGCGGGGAGCAGGAACAGGCCGGACCGGGCTGGCGACGCGCACCACAGGCTCGATGCGAGGGACAGGAACAGGCCGGACCGTACTGGGGACACACACCACTGGCCCTACGCGGGGATCAGGAACGGGCCGGACCGGACTGGTAACACACCCCAGTACCTCTCGCCTTGCCTCTACACTTTCCTCCCCTTTGTGACCAGTGGCCCCCTTAACCTGGCGGCCTCCTCTGCCAACCCGCTGGACCGCTCTATCGCGGCCTCCTGCTTCCCCGTCGTCCACGGCGTGAGCCCAACCCCCCTAAACATTTTCTGGGTGTCTCTCCTCCCCGTGGACCAGGCCTCCATATCTCTCGCCAGATTCACACCCCACTGCTCCCAAGTCCAACCTCTCTGCTCTTCACTTGGCTTGGCCCAGTCGAGACTCTTACTCCACTGCTCCAAAGTCCAACCTTTCTGCTCTTCACTTGGCTTAGCCCAGTCGAGGTTGCAAAGGCGATCCGCTAGAGATTCCCCTGGCGATGGCTCCTGGACACGCTGCTTGGTCCAGTTTTTGTGGGATCTTCTGTCACGATCGTCGGGTACAGAGGACCAAGGCGCAGCGTGGAAGGTGAACATATTTTATTAATTTGAATGATAACACGAACAAAACAACAAACGATAACGTGACGTCCAAAGGTGCAAAACACAAACCTATACAGGAACAAGATCCCACAAACACTGTGGGAAAACTGGCTGCTTAAGTATGGTTCCCAATCAGAGACAACAAGCAACAGCTGATACATGTTGCCTCTGATTGAGAACCACACTGGCCAACATAGAAATACTAAACTAGAATGAAAAACAAATGAAAACTCACACCCTGGCTCAACATACTAGAGTCCCCAGAGCCAGGGCGTGACAATCAGTGGGTTTTGTGATGAATGAGCCATCTGATTCAATGAATGATGGAGCTGAGTTTGCCTTTTTGCCCAACATTTTAATTTAAGGAACTCCCATTTTTTTTTACTATCATTCTTTATATAATTTGTCTTTGTTTCATAGTATAGTTTCTTCTTCTTTTTATTCAGTTTAGATTTCTCAATTTGCAGTACGTTTGACAATCGGTTGTGCAACCAGACTTATTTGCCATTCCTTTTGCCTCATCCCTCTCAACCATACCATTTTTCAATTCCTCATCAACCCACGGGTAATGGGTGCATGCTTATTAGTAACTGGAATAAGCAATTTCATAAATTTGTCAAGTGCAGCGCCTGGTTGCTCCTCATTACACACCACAGACCAGCAAATATTATTTACATCAGCAACATAGGAATCACTACAAAACTTATTGTATGACCTCTTATACACTATTTCATGACCTCTTGTACACTATCTTATACACTATATATTGTTGCAAAAAATATATAAACGCAACATGCGACAAAGATTTTGCTTACAGTTCATATAAGGAAATCAGTCAATTGAAACAAATTCATTAGGCCCTAATCTATGGATTTCACATGACTGGGAATACAGATATGCATCTGTTGGTCACAGATAGCTTAAAAAATAAAGGTAGGGGCATGGATCAGAAAACCAGTCAGTATCTGGTGTGACCACCATTTGCTAATCAAAAGAGAACCATGGCGCTCTCCCAGAAGCTTGGCTGGTGCGTAAAACCCGCCAATTCAGACCAAAATAAAGATGTAATGGGGCCGCACTCAGAAAGATGTAGCATAAAGCTTACTTCATTATTCAAGTTTTGTATTATTTTCACTGCATCAGTACACAGATGTTTCGTCTTTACAGCCTTCTGCTCATCGATTGTTCCCTACAAATGCTGTTTTGAATTAAAATAACATTTTACCTACACACTGAAGAAGACTGTAAAGCCAAAAAGCGCTCTTGGGTGCACCACAAAAAATATGTATTTATCTGCTGTCTGGTTTATCCCCAGAAGATTTTGGCTGTTTATATCTATGATATGATATGAACAACAGGATGTCATTTATTACATGTGTCTTTCATCCGTTCACAGTGTGACAGACACAAGATATGAGTCTGCAGCTCGATGCTTCTGGTTGTTTACTGCTGTGTTTTGACACTGAGGTGTTGTACACTCCAGCCTCCTGCCAGTGATAGATGCAGCTTACCTTATACACAGTAAAACATAGCTCACCTGCCTGTCTTACCTGCTCTGTTAATACGTAAACATATCATCCTGTCCAATGCAAAGAGAAAGCATATAGCTTGAAGTGCCACCTCAGCCTCTAGATATAAAACGCTATGGTTTATCTAGTGTAACATATTGCCAGATGTCAGCCCAAGACACAAAGTGCATAATACTTACCCTTAAAGAGACAGAGTTGCAGGAAGAGGGGATGTTTTTGCTGAGAAAACCACCTTTATTTTTGTTTAACTAGGAATATTTCATTTGTAAATGACATCCCAGCAGATATTTATCAAAGCGGAAAAGGTGAAAATAGAACACCCACTTCTCACTTTAATGTTGTCATCTTCCCTGCCACTGAAGCCCGCCGTTCCATCGGCATTATAAATGTACATTTGGGGAGGGACTGGGAAACCTGCTTCATCTGACTGTCAGTTTCCATCATAAAAGTGCACCAGGTCCACAGGGCAGCCAGTTTTTCAAGTGCAAATGAGCAATCCAGGGAAGACAAGAAAATACACTGAGAAAGAAAAAAAATATCTGGAAGCTCTCCAAATTATTTATGCTCAAATTTTGTGCCTTGCAATGAAAAGGATAGAAGGGTACAATAGCACTGCCAGGATAAGCCAATGCCTCCCTCAGCACCCAAGACAAAGACTGAGGACAAAGACGCATCGCAGCATATTCATCTCTATGCATGGCTTAAGCCATGTTGGCATGCTGCTGTATGTTCCAGGCTGCCGTTTGATGTGTACACAGCCTCATTTACTCCACTGGTCTATATGCATCCATTGCTGTGGCTCCTAGTCATAGCATACAGTGCATTTTAGAGGTGACGTAAAGGACGACACAGCCTACAGGGAGGGACTCGCTACCTGACAGGGGTTAGTTAAATAATGGGAGTGTTTTGTGTAAAGGGCTGCTGGAACACAACCAGGTGTAACTCACTAACTGTAAGTCACTCTGGATAAGAGCGTCTGCTAAATGAGTAAAATGTAAATGTAAATGTAGGTGTCATCCAATGACCAGGTAATTGACTCCTAAACAACATAGGATGATGTCAGTAATCTTGTAAGTCTGGTATGTCTTGTTTACATTATATTCAATATGCACTTGGTGCTTCCCTGCCCTCAAGTGGCTTTACAGATTTTTTAAGAGACTGCAATTTTATCATCTTTTAGAAATCAGATTGCAAACATCTTCACGAAGAGAAATTGAACAGGAAATGTGGACATTTGAAACGGTAATGTAATCTAGCCTCATGTTGTCATGTTAAATGCTGTTGTTTTTACGGCAGAGACAGTAAATCCATCATTAGCCACACCCCACCTGTCTAAGATAGACAGCGTCTCCTCTATACTAGCTTCCACTTAGTGATGTCACAGCAGTTGGTGTTTATGTGGGATAACCGACAGCCAGCGCCTCCGGATCTCACACGTTTCGTCTGACATTTGTAGATGTTTATTCTCCGCCATCTGTCTTTGACTAATAACTTCAAGCAGAGTTGCTACAATAAAGTAGGTCTGGCTTTCCAAGCACTTCACAGTTACTGCTGCCTTGTCAATATTCCGAGAGATTCACAGGGAGTCGCTCAGTCACTCAGCCCCTCCTCTGGGGCTTCCAGCTCTATAGTAAACCCTCCTCCCTCTCAAAGCAGCTGCCACTCAAGACACTTCGGCAGTATACTAATCTTCACACAGCATAATCATTGTACATAATAAAGGCCTGTTATTAAAGAGCTCATCAAGCCACTGAACATCATGACTGAACACACTGATACAACTGCATAACAGTAACTAGACTGTCATTTACTGTTGATTGGAACAAACAGTAAATCAATTAGCAGTGTTCTGTTATTACAACAGTGGGCTGACTTTCATCTCCCTAAACACAGATGAGCAGGAAATGGATATAAGAGAACAATGAGGTCCACACACACTGATCCGGTGGGAGTGGATGATGTGTGTGTGGACCCAGGGGGCAACGTCATGTATGTGATATGATGATTCAGTGGGAGAAGATGGATGCATTAACACAATGGACTCACTCCATCAGTGATGCTAATGGCAGCAACTACAGTGACTGCTGTAGCACAGTGATGCTGGGGTGAGAGGTCAGGTGTGTTGATGCTAATGCACTGTGGCTGTGTAATAACTGCTGCATTACCACCGTGTTTGGCCATGCCGCACGCTGGACGGCAGGCAAGCAGGCAGCCTCCCTCCTCAGGCTGAATGGGGTGGATGGTACTGTACTGAAGTTAGTGTGTGCGAGTGTGCGTGCGTTTGTGTCACAGGAGGCTGCTGAGGGGAGGACTGCTCATAATAATGGCCGGAACGGAGCAAATGGAATTGCATCAAACACCTGGAAACCATGTGATACCATTCCACCTATTCCGCTCCAGCCATTACCAAGAGCCCGTCCTCCCCAATTAAGGTGCCACCATCCTCCTGTGGCTTGTGTGTGTGTGTGTGTGTGTGTGTGTGTGTGTGTGTGTGCGCGTGTGCGCGTGCGTGCATGCCTGCCTGTGTGTCTGTGTGTGTGTATATATATATAAATATATGTGTATATATATATATATATATATATATGTGCACATGCGCTTGTGTGTGTGTGTGTGTGTGTGTGTGTGTGTGTGTGTGTGTGTGTGTGTGTGTGTGCATGCGCCTGTCTATGTGTGTGAATGTGTGTGTGCACGCTGTGTGTGTATGGTGACAGTGTACGGCAAATGCGCTGAGACAGCCCGCTCAGCCCGGCTCAGCCCCGCTCACCGACAATCAGATTAATTGGAGCCGAGGCCATTAGCCGGCTGGAATACATTATTGCTTTGCAGAAAGAGCAAAATCCTAACCTTGTCGTCCCAGTCCTTGTTTACCAGAGCAGAGACAGCAGCAGAGCAGAGCAGATGAGGGCTGTGTGCCTGCCCACCTACCCGCTCGCCATTCCCTGACACACAGTCATCTCATGGAGTCCACTCTCTATTCACAGTGCCACTCACTACTAGTAGTTTGTGCAGGGCAGATTATTCTCTATGGCCCTACTGTGCACTGTAAGTGTGTGTGTGTTGATGTTTTATGTGTATCCATGCATCCTGGATACAGCCTCAGCCCAGAGGTCAGGGGTCAAGGCTTTAGTGACTATTACCAGTGAGAGCTGGGTGTGTGGATGATCTCTGCATAGTGTTGTGAGATGGCTTCCTGTCTGTCTACAGCCCTGTGTGTGTGTCTCTCTGAGGGATAGCTGGCTGTGTGTTGGTTGGCATGAGTCAGTCAGTGTGATCTAGCCAGCTAGTTGTCTGTCCATGTGTGAGCGTGACTCAGTGTTGTCCGTCCATGTGTGAGCATGACTCAGTGTTGTCCATCCATGTGTGAGCCAGTGGAGCTTCTGTCCTCCTCTGGGTACATTGACTTCAATACAAAACCTAGGAGGCTCATGGTTCTCACCCCCTTCCATAGACTTACACAGTAATTATGACAACTTCCGGAGGACGTCCTCCAGCCAATCAGAGCTCTTGCAGCATGAACTGACATGTTATCCACCCCATCAATGGATCAGAGAATTAATATAGTACTGAAAGCATAAGCTACAGCTAGCTAGCACTGCAGTGTATAAAATGTCTCAAAGAGAGAGAAAGACAATAGTTGAACAGTCTTCCAAAATGAAGGAGAAGCAAGAGAGAAATAGAGAGAGAGAGATTTCGTCATTTTCTTTCACATTCAGTTTCACTAACAAATGCAGCTAGCTAGTTTAGCCTACTGAAACACCCTGCTCAAACAGAGGGGTGCTATGTTAGCTGGCTATGACTTTCCAACACAACACTGGAACTCTTCCAAGTCAAGGTAAGCTTTTGGTATTACTAATTTATTGCCACCGTGGCCCACCGGTGTAACTGTTTACTGACTGTTTACAGCTGTTGGACTAATAATTACATTATTGTTTGTGTAAGCTGTGTTGTTGGCTAGCCCCTCTGAACAACTCTCTCCTGACGAGAGAGCACATTTCCTATGCCGGGCGAAATCGCGCCTCATTAGCTCATTGTTATGGATGTATCCAAATAAATGTCACCTAGAAAACAGCTAAAACAAATGCAAATGCAGCTACTGTTGTTATTCTGGCTGCACTGTTTGATGTGACTGTAAGTTAGCCGTTGTTGGCTAGCTAGCATGCAAGGCATAAGAACGTTGCCAGCCAGTATGCCAATAGAACATTTAGAGCGCACCTAAAATGTGTCTCTCGACCTGTGTGTACCTACGTTGTAATCTTTAATTCATAGGCTAGGTTGTAGCACCTAATGATGGGTATAAGAAAAATGTGAGTATCATGTAGTAGCCTAAACCTATCGCTGTTACATTGAACTGGATGAATGGAATATGAGTGAGAGTCATCCAATATGCTGTAATAGAAATAAGGCCATGCTCATGAATAAAGAATCGTCCTCCCTCATCTTAAACGGCACTGACCGCCACTGGTGTGAGCGTGACTCAGTATTGTCCGTCCACGTGTGAGCGTGACTCAGTATTGTCCGTCCACGTGTGAACATGACTCAGTGTTGTCCGTCCACGTGTGAGTGTGACACAGTGACATCCACAGAGACATGGGCTGGATGCATCGCTGTTTACTCTCAGGATATTACAAATACACATCGCATTCAGTGGCTCTGACGCCTCCGGAACCCTGTGTGCGTGAGCATGTGTGATTGGGGGAAGGGATTTTCAGGGAAGGGACTATATTAGTAATCTAGCCATTAAAATACTTTTTCAATATAATTTATTGTGCCAAAAAGAAAAATGGTGTTCTGTTCATATAAATATTTATTCCCCCTGTTAAGAAACAGTGTAGAATTGCAGGAAAATGGTTTGAAAAATGATAACAAGCTTTTTCAGGCCCACTTT